GGTTACATTTATGTTATTTTTAAACGATGGCTAATGCTCAAAATCTCAGTCCAGTAAGATGATTGGAGCATGACTTATATCTGTAACAATAATAAATTATTGGCAAAATTCCATGCAGTTAGAGAATTTTAAATAATATTAGATTTTTAAAAAATATTTTGAAGTGATAATTAATGAACTTTACATAAAATATTCATATAAGGTGCAATTATAATTAAATTTCTCTCATTCCGAATTTTTTTTACATAGAAAAATTTGACCATCATTCTCGTTTTGAAAAAAAAAGTTTTAAGCTGTGTTACTCTAAATTCCTTATGTCCTCATGTAACATTTAAAAAATTAAGCAAACTTCCTAAAATATATCTCAGGTAAACAATTGTAATCCTTTATTGCAAATCCATTATCTCACTTTGAGTTGTGATTCACTTGTTTTCGGAAATAAACGAAAACATTGGATATTTTCTCCGAGTTCTTAGGACAATTAGGGCAATCTCTCCAGATTCATTGCTCATTAACCTATTGTTTTGGGCTTATGAATTCATTGTCTAGACAACAGGGCAAAAATAACAAGAACTTAATAGTTATGGATTTTACAGAGTTAGTTTCAGATTATTTACTATACTGTGGTGTTTCTTGTGTTGATTTTGCTTTAAATAAGTAATTAATTCTGCTATCGAAAAAACTGAGAATGTTTGTAGATTTCAGTTTGCTTCATATGTGTACAATACTTAGTATTTTTTGTCAATTAAAAATTTGACCCAGTGTGTTCTAATTATTTAACTCATTTACATGGAAAGTTTTGAGTGTGATTTGTTCTTTGATTTTATTAATATTCACACCGTAAAATACTCAATGTTCAGCGCTGATGCATATCCAGATCCAAAAAATTTCTATTTTCAAGAGGTTCTTGACTCATGACTGACCATGAGGGACAGTCTTGTTTTGATGTAGTGGTTTGATTCAACTTTTTATATGGATTCTATCTTTCCAATTAAACAGTTTTCCACAAGTTGAATTCACATTGTACTTTGATATTCTAATGAGTATTATAATTTCTCAGTCTATAATCAAAGAGGAATGCCATAATAGTTTTGGGAATACACTGACAGAAAAAAATATTAATATCAAGAAAGACTTGTGTTAGATAAACGAAATTTGGTAGGTGTGTTCATACATCTAAAATCTGACATCTATTCGAATTATGCGCTTAAGTGGCACTAGAAGCGCCATTCAGAACTTGCCCTGGTGGTTCTCTTTACCTTCAATGCAGCAGGCAGGAACAAACTATTTTATCTCGTTTCCGGAGTGTCCACCTTCGAACTTTGAGTTTTAAAGATGGAGACAAAGTTTTTCCTGCTTGTGTTAGGTGTTCTCCTGCCAGGCATTTTCAAAACACACTCTTGACTGCTTGTGTTAGGTGTTCTGCCTGCCAGGCATTTTCAGAACACTCTTGACTGCTTGTGTTAGGTGTTCTGCCTGCAGGCATTTTCAGAACACACTCTTGACTGCTTGTTTAGGTGTTCTGCCTGCAGCATTTTCAGAACACACTCTTGACTGCTTGTGTTAGGTGTTCTGCTGCCAGGCATTTCAGAACACATCTTGACTGCCTGTGGCTTACAAAACAAGATCTATACGAAGACCCTCTAATGGTGTTGGACTTTTTGAGAGTGAATGAGATCATGGACTTAGTCTAGCTTGGCTAGACATGGAGATGAGCAACAACAGCACAACAACAACAGAATTTGCAAATCAGGGTTGCTTTAAATGCGTGCTGTAAAGTTCGTGGACATTATTCGTCTGTGAAATTTGACGTAGTGTAAGGGATGACTCGTGTCATCCCTTAGTGTGAGATGGTCGGAAGGAATATTAGCCATAGTCAAAACAAACTTTGCTTATTAACAATTCTCAACGAAGACACGAATTTAACAATTCAAACTGAAAAATGCACCAATTACTAAATATGTGAAGCAATCACGGGAGGGACAAGATACTAGAAGAATTAATAAAAAGGATCACTTACGCTTAGGAAATACACCTTCTAATTCAATTTGATCTAATCCGAATTTAACGCTTAATTGACAAAATCGACAATTTTAATATTAATCAATTAAGTAACGTAGTTCTCTTGCCTAGTTTCCCGCTAATCAATCACTGATATCCGTTAGAAGTCTAACCTCTCTCCCTTTAACTCGAAAGTTTAATCTTTATGTGCAAGTCTTAATTTACATAATTTGCATATATCGCGTCGTCTTCTAAGGGAGGAAGTTTTCAAATGAAAAATATTAAATACAGAAATTCCCCAAGATAATTGTCATGAAAAACGAGGATAACCCCGATACAATGATACCCGATACCCGAAGTTGATGTCAGCCAAGAATGCCTTTATCAATAGCTCAACCAGTTTTAACAAGGTCGTGTAATAAAGTTACAAGAAGGTGGATTTTCTTTCCGCTATATTGCAGGAAGACTTGGCTGGGATGTATCCACTGTGCATGATTGTTGGGAGCAGTGGTCAAGACATAGTACTGCCTCAAGAAGACCGGGTACCGGGCGTTGACGTGATCCTATTGAGAGGGAAGACCGCCGTAATTGCTGTAAGGCTATGGCGCATCCTACTGCATCTGCGGCAGTAATTCAACCTGCAGTTAGTATCAAAGTAACACAACGAATTGTTAGAAATCGGCTACTTGAAGGGTAGCTCCGAGCCAGGCACCCAGTTGCATGTATTCCACGGAGTCCAAGCCGCTGCCGTTAGCGACGCCAGTGGTATGAAGCAAGAGATCTTTGGAGGACGGAGTGGAAAACGTTTGTGTTTTCTGATAAAAGCAGGTTCTGCCTTGGTGCCAGTGGTGGCCGTGTGTGGGTCAAAAGGAAGCCAGGGGAACGCCTGAATCAAAACTATGTGCGGCCTAAATATACTGGACCTAAACCTGGAGTTATGGTCGGGGGAGGAATTCCTATAAAAGCAGGAGCATTCTCGTGGTTATCCTAAACACATTGACAGCAAATTTGTACGTCAGTCTGGTAATTCAATCTATAGTACCGCCATTCATGAACAGAACCAAAGAGGGAGTTTTTCAACTGGATAATTCTCACCTTCACACTGCTGTTGTAACGCAGCGTGGTAACTCTTGATATGTTACCTTGGCCTACGAGATCACCAGATCTGTCTCCAATTGAGTACGTATGGGTTATCATTGGATGGAAACTCCAGTATCATCCTCTGCCACCAGTCACAATCACAATTTTGACACAAGTACAACACGCATTAAATTCCATACCACAAAGTGACATTCGACACCTGTATGACACAATGTATGCACTCTTGCAGGCTTGCACTGAAAATTCTGGAGGTTACACCGGCTATTGATGTAATAGCTTTCCACATTTGAAATGAATTTTCTTGAGCTCAAATTAATCTGTGATCTTGAACATTTAATCAATTAAACATGTTAATTTGACAATTGTATTGTCAACATTTCATTACTCCTTGGCGTTGATATATTTTTTCGTCAGTATACTTAATACACTTTTGTTCAATCACTGTAAAATAATTACAAAACTGAAAAAAATCGAATACATTAACAAAAAAAAACCAATAATATTTTCTCTGTTACATAATAAATTATTTAACTAACTTATTTTTTCTCAAAAAAAGACTAGTTAACAGGAACGAAAAGAGAGGTATATTTCATGAGAAAATAAATCTCAAATATTAACCTAATAAGGTTCTTATGAAGGTGTTAATGACAATATGTAATTGGTTGTAGTTTACATGATACGAACATTAGAGCTATTATTAATTAACTTTAGAATTTAGAAACTCGATCACACACAAAGGACAATAGGAGACCTAATTATTTCCTTTCTTAGTATGATAATATATTACATTTGGATTTTGGAGATAATATTCAAATCAATTTTCAGGATTCCTAATTTCGCATGCGAAATTTTATAGAAATTATATGTGTACATCGCTGGTGTAAAACTAGCAAATGGAGTTATTAAACTTCTTCAGAGATTTATCAAGAAATTGAAAGATTACCGAGATATAAAAAAATCACGTGTTTTACTGTTTCAATTTTGCTTCTATATTTGTGTGGGGAAGGTTGAAATAAGGACGTTTACAGATTTGAGCGTATTGCCTTGTTTATACAACGATATCATCTTGTTTTTTCTCTTCAACGATTGATTGATTTCATTATCTTACTTATTGATTAAATTATACTCAACAAATTATAAGCATTCTCAGAATTATCATGCAAAGACAAAACGATCTTCTCACGAAAATGAATAAAAAAGTATCAAATATTGCGAAACTGACTTCAGATCGAATTTTGGACTCGGTACTAATCCCTGTGGATCCGAACTTCTGGGACAAAAAAATAAAAGATCCACGTGACCAAAATTAAGCAAGACTTCCGCTTCAGAAAATAATCCTTCAAGAATTAGAAGGCAATGAAATGTAATTAAGAAAGTGAAGAATACCTCCCGTTGATGGAAGAAGCCCCGGTAATTGCAGCCATTTGGAAGGGCTTTATCAAATTGCATTTTACTGACGCTGCCAATTCGGTGAGAATCGTTAGCGAAACAAGACCTTTTTGTTTCGATTTTACCTTTACTTTTGATTATAATGACATTCTATCGAACAATTCTTTACTTTGCGACTTGATTAGTTCTCCAGAATTCACTGCAGCTCTAATCGCAAATGCAAATATTAAGGTGAATCTGCCGAATTTGCATTGATTTGTCATTGGGCTTAAGGAATGATCAGAAATGTATTGACTAATGTTTCGTTTCAGTTTCGATTGTAATTTAATTTTGTATATGATGTGTGATTAAATGCGTTAAGAAGTTACAAAATCAAGTGGTGAAATTGTTCATATTTTTGTTTAAAACGTTCTTTTGAATAAACTACTGAAAAAAGGAAATTAGCTATAAATATCAAAAATCGAAAACATAAACACATCATACACCACTAATCACTGTAATGCTGTCCAGCCAGCTTGGCGGATATGGCCCTCGGTTTGTAACTGAGTGGGCTCGGGTTCGAATCCCGAATAAGGCACGGTTGTATCTTCTTCGGGAAAAGAAGTCGGACTTTCGTCTGAAATGTGGATTCCCGTCTCAAATGGAAAGCAGCGCACCTCTTCTGTTATATGCTGGTTTAATAGTTTGTGAAAAAATTTTTGTATTGTATGTTTCTGTTGTTCTTCCCTCACCCGTCTTTCATATGTATCCCAGGATAAAAACACACGACAACAACAATCACTTGCATAGCATTTCATAATAGTATCAATTGTAAATAGTTTAACTGCGAACAGTTTATATAGTAGCACAGTATAGCTTTATTTTATAAATAAAACAATAACTTGATATTATTTTTGTATCCTGTAAAGATACAAGCGACTAACTAAAGAGGTATATGCATGCATTTAGAAGAAAAAAAAATCTTCAATATAGAGGACTCAATTGAAACGTTTTAAAGCATTACGTAAATAATGCTTTTTATTTATTAATGTTTCAATGGAGTTTGAATTACTTTGTATCAGATATTTCGGCATGATTAATATGATGACAAATAGTTATCCCTTTCAGAAAGAAAAGTACTTTGATATAGATTAATATTTTTGCTTATAAAAATTTTTTTTAATAGAACTTGTTGGAAGTTCTTTAAAATTCTGCCAAAGAACGAAATATGTGCACGATATACATTACCTAGAAAAGCTGTTTTAATTCGTTTTTAGTGGGATTGTTTATCGGGAAAAAAAGACTATTTCTGGTGCAAATTTCAAGTTCCCTTTTCATAATAAGTAAAAATTTTTTAATGATTTTCGGAGTATATAAATTGTGTTAGTGTGTATGATATAACTGTTCGTAGAAGAATTTGTCCTAATACATGCAGTTTCTCAAAATTTTTTTATATACAACAAAATCTAAGTATACTAGGGGAATCTAGTACGTTCAAAATCTATAACAAAAGATATGGACTTTAGATATAATCCATTGATTAAAGTAATTAATAAGCAAAAAAGTTTTAATTATATCTGATGGCACGAAACTACAAAATAAATTAAGAATTATTTCTACACTGCAAATATTTCTAATAATATTACCGAATTTTTATTTAAATTTATTTTATTATTCAATATATTTTGTCACATACTGATTGAAACAAGGGATACGATATTAATTCGTGTTATAGCAAATATGTATATAATAATTAGGGGTTGCAATATATCGGATCAAAAGTTCAATACCGGTATTCTGCATTTTTTAGATCTTAATACCGGGATACCGATTTTAGTACCGGAAGCAGAAGTTTTGAGAAAAGAAAGAAAAATATATGTGTTTCTTTGTTTTATTTGCCAGTTTTATTAGAGAGTGTAAATATAACAAAAATTAATTTGTAATTTTTAAAATTATAACAGTATATAACGAATCACAGAAAAGTATAGTTGCATCTTATTTATTTAAATCACAAAAAAAGTGTAAATATCACTATTCAGTTTGTGTTACAACTACAAATGTTTGAAATGTGATCTTAAAAAACATAATGCATTAATTGTACTGTCATTAAGATGGGAACGTAATTATGTGCACAAATTACCAACTGCCTTAAACGCTGTTTCAGTATCTGCGCTAGTTGATAGTATTGTTAGCAATATGCGATATACTTTTTCCAAGTATTTACCTTAAATTTATCATCTTCAATTAAATCGATTTCTCGTCAAGTGGTTTTGGATATAACTGATTTTCGTATTGTACTTTAGTTTGTTGAAATTATTTTACTTATCGCTAATTCTAATTTTTGTTCAAGAAGCAATTTTTTCACTATCGAAATTAATGTCATAATCATTTTCGATAACTGTACCAAATTCTTTTGAATGTAGGTAAGATTTAGGAGTAAAACATTTTAAGAAAATTTACTATAAACTTGACCAAATTTGAATTGGCTAGTCTCTCTTCTCCTTTTTCCTTTTCATTTTTAAAACCATGATGATATGTAAATACAAGTATGATACGTAAATACAATGTAAATAACAAACCCTCCAATTTAAAAAATATCGAAATATTACGCACTTTCTTCACAACTACAACCATGTTTTCACACATATGAATATCAGATTGCGCATGTGCAGTATCACTCTGAGCTGTAATATAATTGTTTTAGCCCACTTCCTTGAACAATTCACATATTTTATTGCTCCTCTTGATTGTACGATGCACAGTCTATCTAATTTTGACTGTTAAGGAGACATGAAAACAAAAGCGTACACTATTTTTCTAGGTTGGCGATCCCTGCACATTTAGCAGAGACAACTTTAAAAATTTCTAGTGAATACCGAAATATCGGTATTTAAATTTGTGAATACCGGTATTACAAAAGTGTACAAATGGCTCAAAATACCAGTATTCGGTATCCCGGTATACCGGTATTCAATCCCTAATAATAATCTTTTAATTGAGTGAACATTAACTTTTTTTTGAAGCTATTCTTACATTTTGGCTTTTTTCATTAAATTATTAAAATAAATTTTAAAACAATTTTAGCTTCTGCTTATAGATTTATAGCAAAAGATAGGAAGTTTAAGGAGAATAAATTACTTGTTGGTGGTCAGCATTTTTGCAAAATTTTTATTAGTTTTTATTTGAAAAAAAAAAGTATTTCCATATAATATTAGTTTTTGTTCTACAAAATTTACAAAACCTATAACATTATGATTATAGAAAAACTGATAAGAATATTCTGTAGGGTTATCAGAAATAATTATATCAAAATACTACCATTTTATATTATATTTTATTTTAATTTGCATACTCAATAACGAAACAAAATCTCTTTTAAAGAAACTAATTGAAAACAATTTTTTTTGTGAAAATTTTTCTATTTACTTAATACAAATTTTGGCATAGGAGAATAATTAAACTCATTATGGATTCATTTGGTGCCCGCCATTTATATTCTTTCTTGTGAAAAAACATTCTTAGCTTAATAAATTGTTTATTATTCCCGTTCGCTTAACTGGAAAGATTTTTATCTGAAAATATTTGCCCAAGAGTTAATGGATTGTTTTCCAATTTTTTGTTTTTTCGAGAAAATTGAGAGAAAGTGGACCTTATTTATATTTTTTTTAACTTACAATCTACACTAGAATAATGTACACGCAGCTATCTGATATGCATTAAAGGTATTGAATGACTTGCACTTGTCATTTTTCTAATGACCGTAGAAAATCGATAATTTAGTAATAATTAGGCTCAAATCAATGGAACAATAATAAATTATTGCGGAAATTATCATGTGTTATTGGCATTTGTAGATAACAATTTATTTATAAGTATCTAAAAACCAAAAGCCAATTTTAACATGGTTAATTATTTATTTTTCACATTTGAAAAAATTGTTCTCGAGATAGTGAATTTCAAGCGGAAAATTTAATGTCAATAATAATAATGAATTATTAATTCCATTGAGGTACTTTGACACAAAAACATTAAATAACGAAAATATTTATTATAATATGTTGCGTAAATTAATAAAAAATAATAAGTAAAATAATAAATAAATTATGGCAATGATTGCACACATGGTAAATAAGTGTGTTTAGCTTAGCGTTTCAGTTGTATTCTGATTTATCAAGTAATGTTAGTCTCCTCAATTTTTAATTCTTTAAAATATTAAAGCGAACAAAAATAAGTGTAGGACTGAAGTGTGCTCGGCCAATTTATCGTGTTTGTGCCGGTGGTTCAGTGTTCAAAAAATGGTGTAAATCAGAGTCTCTCAAACTTTTTGTCTCATAGACCCCTTACAATATTTTCCGGTTTGGGCTATACCCCTGCTTACTTAATATTGAATTTTTGCAAATTCATCAACTTAAATGTATTTTTTGATAGCTGGTATAGAACTACTTACTTTAAAAGATTAAAATTTTTAACTGAAGTGAAGTGTAGTGCAAAAAGCTTAAGAAAACAAACACATTTTAATTTTAAACATTTATTAGTTAAATTAAAGTTTAATAACTGTTTCACAAATTACCGAGTAACAAACTAATGGTTTTAATGGGAGGGATGAATATAAAGTCACTTAACAAATTTCCAACATTCGACATCAGTTTTCTCAAGTTGAATCTTAAATTTCTTAACTTTATTCTGCGCAGTCTTTTTCTTTTTCTTTCGTTATGAAGATTAGCAACTACGCTGAAATTCTTTTTACTAGAAAACGTAATTAAAAACTTTCTCACTCTAGTCCGGAATTCAAGATAGATAGGTAGATGTGTTTATATTATAATAACATATTAAGTAGGTAAATAAGTAACACCTATCTGTATGGGGAATATTTATTACATTCATTGAACACTAAAATTAAACCTGAGATCCGGTTAAATGAGAGTCACAATTGTAGATTCCATTTACACCTCTTAGCCACCTTATTTTTTCCCTGTTGACGTAGACTCCTTGCAGACCATCGTAGACCCCTGGGAGTTGATGTATATTATTTTGAGAATCCCTAGTGTAAATAATGAATGAATTCGGAATAAGCCAAACTTTTAAATTGAAACTAGAAAGTAACAAACAAGAACAAATATTTACACATATTAAGAATATTGAATAAAATCTTTTCAATCTAAATTTTAAATCAAAATAAAAGCATCAGCTCTTTCTATTACCTTTCAGAAACCACAAAAATTCGGATTCTAACAGTCAAATGCCAAATTCTACGTTGAGATTAACAATAAATCGGGTGTCAACTTTTGCGATTAATCTTATAATACCAAACGATTAAATATATCAACAAATAAAATAAATAATAAGAAAAAATAGAGCTATATAAATTCTTAAATCAAAGCAGACGATAATAGTATGAAAAAGAGAATAATTTCAACGTTAATAGATATATTAAAATTAATTTCAAAGAACATATAACACATTTTGCTTTATATTTGAACCTAAATCAACTGCTTAGTCTCTTTTTTATGTCTAACATTCTTATCTAATCCAGGTGGCGGATAAAGAGCCATAGTAGCCAAATAGTGTGATGTATCGCTGTTTCCAATTGCGGTAAAA